GCATTTTCAAGCAGCCAGTTGGCTGGTTGATGACTGTTCTTTGCAATCTATGTTCAACATTATTTCACACATCGATTTGTTCCTTTCCGATCTCTGACTCTATCTCTCATCGTCGCTCTTTTTTTCATCTTTTCCATATCACAGCTTTGCTTTCATTCTTTATCATTATTCCATTTCATATCATATCATTTTTTTAAACAGCAGTCAACAAATCTGTTTCGTTCAAATTTCTCTTTTGTCATCTATTTTCATGAAATGTTTCTTTTGCAAACATCAATGGCGCATGCATACATGTATTTTTTCGCATCCAGAACAGCTCGTTGTGTTGATGAATGTTCATTCGTGATGAAAGGTATAAAGTACGAGTATGGAACAGACATCAATCGAACTTCATCTATAGTCTTATGTGTGTCTGTGTATGTGTATGCATACCTTTAATCATCATAATATTGCCGTCTATCATGTCAAATTTTATGATAAAAATCAAACTTCAACGATGTCTTCTTTTCGTTCAAAACACTGCGCATTACTGCGTGACTGTACTTCATCACCATTTCAGTGGTTCATATCCAAGTCATACGTTATATCAAATCAAAAATGTTTTTCATATTCATTTTCTCGCTGAATCTTTCCTCCTACTAGCTCATTTCTGTCCAGAAACATGCCTTCGAATACCTCTTACATGCAGTTTCTGCCGTTGATTCAGTTTTTGGCACCAATATGTGAAAACTTTACATGCAGTCTCAGTGCTGTTTCGCTTTCCACTTATATACCAAATATATTCTTAAAAAAATATCAGAGCAATCTCTTGATATTGGACTGAAGTATGATTGTTATTACTGTTCAGATAGCCGAAACGTATCAAAAGTCGTACTATTTGCATGTGTCCGTCACGAATAGGAAGAAGCATCGTTAGATACCTAGTGCCTTAGGGTGTTAAAATCAATAGTTCATCTGTGGACGACGATCAATAGTGCAACTAGACGTGTTTCTATCGCTATTACTCTCACAGCTTCTAGCAGCGGTGTTGATCATTAATAAGCGTTCAGAGTAATATGGAGCAACTGCCGTGATCGTTCGTTGATACATGCCCTTCATGTTCAGACGATGCGTCATGCACAAACATTTAATTTCATTTTACGCATGCATCGCAACAAACACGATCTATTATATTATATTCTGTTCAATTTAGTTGATGTTCTAATCATTTTCAGTTCACTTCATTCAAGGTATCAACACAACTTGTCATTCATCATGTTTTCATTACTGACACCCACTTTATCACTACGTTCTGTTTACAACTTCTTCAGTGCTCTTTTTCACCATCTCTTCTCAGCAACCATAACCGCGGTTTCTTTAGTCCACTAAATTTCATTCCTTTCCATTCGGTTATTAACGATAAGATCTTCTGATCAATGAAGAACTGACTTTGATTTTTCTGCATAATTTCTCGAATTGTTCTTCTTCTGTTTATCATTTCCGTTTGACACGTTCTTGTTCTCTTTCTTACTCTTAAAAGATTCAAGATTTTATTTTTTTACCTGTCCGATTCTAACTGATTGTGTTCACTATTCCAAGCCTACTAATTTGATCACTGCCATCAGATCAAAACGAATGATGTTTTGTTCAACCGCAGTCACTCATATTTGCTAATGTTTAGAGTATCTTCACTTGAACAAAAGACCCAAAATTTTGTTTCAAAAATTTTTTGCTCTCCACAGCAATGGATCCGTATGCTCTTTCTGAAAGAACTTCTTCGTATGTAACTTTTGAACTTATCTCAAAAACGATAATATTCCAATAGAGTCGATTTCTTGGAAATGAACGATTCTTTAATCAGTTTATGTTGCGAATGCATTTTTTTCATCGCAAGCGATGCTTCAAAAGTGCAATGCTTTGTGAAAGCAATCACATAACAAGCATTCCACATTCTTCCGACAAATAATCGAATTTGTTCGCAAATATTGTTTTATTTAGGACGTATTCGAAAGCCATGAAAATATTTCAGTGTTCTTTCATCAGCTATTTCCATCAGTGACACAAGGCTGCTCGATATATTTTAGCCATTTGAGCGAATTGTCGCTGAGTTTATGTACGGAGTCTAGTTGTTCTGATGTTTCATATGTGCTCTAGATCCATACCCATTGTGGTTCTCAAATGCGTTGAGAATTCTTTATTTTTCTCATTTATTTTGAACGGATATCATAGTTTTACTATAGAAAAGCTGTATGGTTAATTGCATTTTTGGGTGCCTTTCAGTGCGCTTCGAGCAACATTCAGCTTGCATGCATAAGATTTCTTACTCACAAATCTTTACTGTGCAACGAATATATGACGAGTTTTGCAATGAAACCCTTCTCTTCGGGTATTCATTAAAGTTTGCAGGTACGAAGAAGCGCTCATTTATTATGTGATTCCCTTGCGCTTCGCCACAAAGTATACCAAAAATTTTTCGAATAGTTCTTTGTGAATTCAAAAAACATTCTGATACAGTATTCGGTTTACTGACTTAAACTAAGGTGAGTGAAACTGATTTACTTGTGGTGAACTTTCTGCTTTTATTGCTTTTTCGATGATAACGGAGAAAATTTTGATTTGTTTGTTATTGCTGGCCAATTTTTTTATTTCCAGCCATTCAATTAATTTGACATTCAGAATTTCTTTCTGAGAACTGTATATTCTCTGTGACTTTGATCGTTTGTCAAACTTAATTCACGTAAATAATTTATGCACTCTGAGCATAAACGCGATTGATTAATTCAAAAAAANAAAAAAACCCTGTTGAAGTTCCAATAATATCAGCGATCTTTTGTGCATTGTTCAGTTGTCATTCATTACTACGTTGTCGTTCTCTTCATCTGCATTGAGCGATTTTGACTGAACAGTTTGCAGTGGACAATTTTGGAAATATTTTCTTGTTTGATATCGGTGTGCAGTGCTGACGGTAATTAAGACTATTGAGTTTGGGTGGTGGACATGAGCTTAGACTGATTCGGCGATCACTTTTGTTCGACCAAGTGAAGATTGTTGTCGTTTACATCGATGGGTCATTTTTAGTAGCGAACGAGATTCGTTGTTCACGTCAAATTTTCGATGAAGTTTCAATTGAATTTTTCTGCCTTACCAACCATTCATTTTACTGAAATTACTGCTTATCTATAAAATACAATATTAGCCATTTGAAGTGTCACAAACGTGATCTTATGGTGCTATCTCAAAACTCATAATTAAAGTATTTGACTGAAGCGTAAGTATTGCCGCATATGTAATTAATATGCTCATTATGAAATCAATACGATTTTGTTTCACTCCGCTAGACAAATAATATCTGTAATATCCTGAAACAGAGGTAAAACGGTAATGATTCATAATTGCTTCTATGCGTCAATTGAAAATGCTATTAAAGTTACAGGAAATTAATGTGCTGTGACGTTGAGGTGTATCTGTGAGGTTGTCGTGCCCTTTTAGTGTATTATTCATCTCGTTACTATTATACATTTTCGCATGCACGCACTCACAATCAGCCTATATATATATATAACATATAATAAATATTCGTTCAGATGCAAGGCATGTGTCCATTCTTAATGCTTAATTAATAAAGTATTCATTCTTTGATAAAACCGAGCAGCTTTCTGCTTTACACTCCTTTACTCTACACCATCACAACCTTCCTTTTTAGAATGTGTGTAGTAATCGATTTCATATTTGTTGCTTACTACTACTTCATCGTTTTAAATGTGACATTATTACTGAATTTCATTCAATTCAAACATGTTCCTCACAATCAATATGTGAGCACCTGAACATATCGCACTCGTTCTCATGATCATGTCTTCCTTCATTCATTTACGACCTATAAACTTTGCATTGCCCACTATTCATTGCTGTTCAACATTCTTTCACTGATTCGTCATGTGATGAGAATAGGTCATTAAGAAAATGTTAGCTTTGAGCACTTTCGACTGTGTTTTATTGTTTTCTCTTATTTGAGAGGCTTTTAGAAATTTAATCTGTCGAGGGCAACCAACATTTTGCATAATCTCATTGTTCATCCGTCGGAAATAATTGAAGAAAAGCATGGCAAAATTCGAATTTGAGTGAATAGACACAAATCATTCGAAGCGAATAGACAACCGACAAACAGACACAAATCATTTGAAGTTCCACATCTAATTGTGAGCTATCAATCACTTATGTCGTTGGCTTGGGTGTTTTTGAAGCCAAGACGGAACGGAACGTTTGGCTTCATAATTTGCCAGCAATGCACAGTGCTATTTGCCGAATCATCCAGACAGAACTCTTGACTTTCATTTATCGTCACTTGACGATCCGTTGTCGTTTTCGACCGACAATGTAACTTGTCCATAGTTGGATTGGCATTAAGAATTTCTTTGTCATTCTAAAACCACTCTGGCGATCATTGACCACCGCACATTTATCGACTGTTCAATGAAATCTACTGAATTCCTGAGCGGAAACAACGTGAAGTTTTCACTTCTTTTTCGTTCAACTTCAATTCACAAATATTTCTACGCTGATTTCGTTTCAGCGTTGATTTTCTATTCTCTGAAGTGTATTGGAGTACTTTTCAAGTGCCGATGACATTCGAATTCATTTTTTCATTCACTTTCTGTTGCAAACTCGACCGTTCAAAATTGCGGTTCAGTCACTCATTCCCTTTTTCCACGTTCTCCTGCATTTCTGATGTTTAACCACCTAGCGCCGATAGATGTTCATGCATATTTCACTACGTTTCCTCCTCACTACAACTGATTTCCTCACGAATTTTGTTTTTTTTTTAGTTTTCGACGCTATGAAGAATTTCTTTTAATTATGCGTTCTCTGGTCAACAGAGCAGCACTATTTTTTTGTTGTTGTTGTTGATGTGGTGGAACACGTTGTTTCATATTTATTGTTAACAATTCGAAGATTAAAATGATACTAACGGATCTTCGAACAAAGATGATCATCGAACTGAAATTTGAGAGTGAATTCGAATGGCATCAATGATAGCCAGCGGCAGTGGTAACAACCTGCTTGGTGGAAGTGATGTGGGATCGATGAACATGATCACATCGACGTTACTATGGCAGCACGGTGATGATGATGACGACGTGCAACATGCCGCTTCATCCACATCCAGACTGAAGAGGCGGCAAGAAGCAATGAAACGCTTCAAACCTGGTTCTTATTATGCTTTCATTCCGCTTTTTTCAATCTTCTTGGCATTTCGTTGGATTTTTTATTGTGTGTAGATCACTTTATTGTTTCATTAAAACTAAAACTCACTCGAAAAATTCATTGTGGTGATAAGTGAACCAAAAATTGGCACTCGACAAAATCCATCTCTGCATTTCCGAGCATCGCTACTCATCAGTAATGATGAATCGGTCGGTAATGTGATGAGTTTGTCTGTAATGTGCGGGGAAAAGTTACGTCCGTCTGTCATACTGAAACTGTTAGTTTTTCGTAAACTGGTCATTCATTTCGTGTGCGAAGCAAAGAAGTCTTCGACTTCGTTATTGTACGACGACAATTCATCATTCACTGTAGGCAGCCGCACAGCGTTTGCGAGTCTGCATGACGTTGTTTGTCTGACGATGAGCAACGAAAAATGAGTTGACGTTGTTCACTTGATGAGTAGTCACTTTTTGTTCGCGTTGATGTTTAGAAGAATTGTAAGCAAACGTTACAGTGCTCATTTATTGTGTGCATATCCTTTTTTATAACGAATTCGACGATTGATGACGTTGGGGATAGAATAGATGCACTGGTAGGTTTTGTTTGTTGCGATGAACTTGCAGCAGGTTGGCGTCACATTGCGTCATAGGCGGACAGTATTTGAAATTAAACTTATTTGACAACATCATTTTTATGCGTTCATATGATTTTGATGAGGAACTCGTTCGAACAATCAATATAGCACTCGCTTTTTGAATGCTGCAATATTTTGTAATATGCAATTAACTCATGTTTAGTTGTTTTTCGAGATTACATTTGCACAAGGAGCATGAAATAGTTGTGCTCAGTGGGGATGCTTAATGGTTTGGAAAAGTGATGAGAGGTTGTCTGATGAAGTGCGTTTTATTGTTTTGTTCGTTGTGCACTGATTCAACTGTTGTTCTATGCGAATTTTGTGGAATTACTCTTTCTCACATAAGAAACAATTGTTGACCATTTCCGATTGTTATCTTTTATTTCGTTCGCATGAATCAACTTTTTGAAGTCATTAGCAATCGTTTTTTTAAAATTTTTTGAAGTCCTATCCGAATAATTATGAAATATCTGGTGTTAAAAATTTAGATGTTCGATNGGTGATGACTGTTGATGTTAGCTGTCAGTGTTAGTGACAACATTCGTATTTGACACGAATGAGCAGTTAGTCAAACAATCATTTCATAAAATATGGTATTTGTCCTCGGAAAATGCATCGCTCGCATAAAGGAAGAAAGTACTGTGTAGTGACGCTATGAGGTGTGCTAGAAAAAAGTAAAACGCGATGTTCCATGTTCATTCGATTTCGATTGAACAGACCTACGGAACAAAAGTGTCTGCGGTGACTTACGAAAAAATGTGTGTCTTTTTCCGTGAGTGCGATGGGAGAAATTGTATCAGTTCAACTATTTCGAGTAGTTAACTTTCGCTCAGAATATGTAAAATGATAAATCTGTGGGAGTAATGAGTGTATTATTATATGAAATATTATAACTGTTTAGGTGAACCTTGCGTGGTTTGCGGTGATGCTGCGTCTGGAATACATTACGGTGTGTCGTCATGCAACGGCTGTAAAACGTTCTTTAGGAGAGTTATTGTTGAGGTATTTTTTCATGCCTTTAATACAACTTCATATTTGTGTTTAACAACTCATCCACCAGTCCATATCGTTGGCCATTTTGATGTACCACTTCGGTTTTCATGAACTCCACTTTTTAAAATTTTGAATTCAAATTTGTGATAGCATAAAATGAACAATTGCTATGTAATGTTTTAAATCGATTGGAAAGCTGGCATAGACATCTCATGCATGCTTCATACTATTATTAGTTACCGAATGGGGAGGTGTTGTGCAAGAGCGAACTCGAACCATTCAGCCTGTGTATGTAGGATAACTGGACCACCTTTCCATTAATGATGAAATGAAGAGCATAACTGACAGGTGTTCATCTTCTGCTGACGATGAGGCCATTTCCTTTATGGTTCATATGCGCAGTGCTGATTTTTGAACATTTTAATAATAGAAATGGCGATTTTGATTTATATTGCGTTTGGTTTCGTATATATATATATATA